AGAAGGCAGCTGGAAAATCCCCAGATTGAGTGGAATCATAAAATATTTATCCTTCTGTGACTGGCTTATTTCACTTAGCATAATGTTGTCAAGGTTTCTCCATGTTGTAGTGTGTATCAGAATATCCTTTTTTTAAAATATATTTTTTATTGATTTCAGAAAGGAAGGGAGAGAGAGATAGAAACATCAATTATGAGAATCATTGAGTGGCTGCCTCCCACCCCCCACCCCCCACTAGCGATCAAACCCACAACCCAGGCATGTGTCCTGACCGGGAATCAAACTGTGACTTTCTGGTTCATGGGTTGATAAATATCCTTAATCCTTGAGGCTGAATATACCTTTTATTTATCTTTTGATCAATCAATGAACATGTGGGTTGTTTCCCTCTTTGGGCTATCTTCAATAATGTTAATGAATGTGGTGTACAAATGTCTGTGTAAGACCCTGCTTTCAGTTCTGGGTATATGCCCTGAAGTGGAGTTGCTGGATTGTAATGTAATCCTATTTTTAATTTTTTTTTTAGGAACTGCCATGCCACTGTACCATTCATTCCATAGTAGTACGTTCCCATCAACAATGCAGTGTTCCAGTTTTTCCAAATCCTCAGCAGCATGTTTTCTGTTTTTTTTTTAATTATGCCACCCTCGCTGGTGTGAGGTGATAGCATTCTAGCACCCTTTCTTGTACACATTGCTATTCCCTCTTTCGCAGCTGCCGCTTTAAAATCATGTCAACAGCCAAACTTGTCTTCCCTCCCCTCTCCTCACCCAATACCAATATCAGTGCTCCTGCTGATCCATGTCTCATCCCTGGTAATTGTCCTTGCATGTTCAACTAGCTGCCAGGCCCTATTGATTCTTCACAGAAATCGTATCTCTTCCCTCCTGCACGCAGGTTCTCAGTTTTATGTCTTGCTTAGATTATTGTAATAACCCTGGCCTGTCCAAACCACTTTGCTGCCATAAACCTGAACTGTGCCCCCTAAGCCCCTACTCGCCATCCCAGAGTAGCTTCCCATTGCCCACAGGAAAGGGAGGGGGAAAAATTAGTGAACACCTGCCGGGAGCCGGTCCAAGGTCACCTCTCCGAGAAAGGTTGTTTCCCCAGGTAGGGATTTTCCCCTGAAGTTAGGGAGGGAATAAAACCTCTTAACTGCCAGGCGGGTAATTAATCACTTTAACTACGAACAATCATGCTTGAGCTACATAATCTTTACTCCCTGGAATGGATATAAGAAACACCCTAACCTTTGGAATAGAGATTGATAGGATTGAATCAACTGGTATAAATACAGATGTAACAAGACAACAAGACACAGAACT